ACCAAAGTTTTTCTGCAACCAGTTCGGTTTGCTTCCCCTCCTAGTTGTGCTTCTCCAATTCCATAGTTCCTTTGAGAAAGAGGTTTTCACCCTAATTCTGTGTACGTCCATTTACTCCAACCTCAGAGCAAAGCTACTTTCCTCCCATTCCTCTGATCCCCTGACCTAGTTAGTATCTCTAGGGCTCTCTCCCTTCAGCAGGATTTCCCTGATCTCAAGCACCCATGTTTCCCCTTAGTTTCCCAGAACTGACCTCTTATCTGTATAAGCACAACCTGGATTCTCTAGCTCACTGGTTTTCTCACTCCTCTCTCCATTGCTGCTCAGCAGAAAGTCTAGGGATCCAGACCTTCTATGCTGGATCATAGCATCCTGGGAACTTTGACATTCCCCTAATCCATCATCTTCAACTCTATCCAGCTAGCTGCATTCTTTCTGCAAAAGGTTTCGGCTCTTCTCCGCTGTGTCCCCACTCTCTGGTCCAACTCTGAGTTCCACCTTCTCATGCCCTGTAACCCCAAGCCCATCTTCCTATGTGAGATTGCAGATAACACTAGGTTGTGCTGCTGTCTGATCTAACCCACCTCTCTTTCTCCCAGCCAGGCTGATTACCCCTCAAGGCCATCAAGGCTTTGGGAGGGTAGGGGTTTTATCTTGAGGAAGAACAAAGTTAAACTGTGCTCAAATTACTAATCAGTTAAAGTCTTATAATACAATAACATTTACCTCAAACTGAATATTATGTTTTTGATGAATCATAAGGCACTTTAAGTGATTTCAATGCCTTTTGTCATTAGTCAGATTAATTATTGTGGGTAATTGAAAATGCAAAAAAGTGAAATTAGTAAATCTTTCTGGCTGATAGCATGATGGATATATCAGCTTTTCTTCTGCTAGAAAGGAGATAAAATAGAGTAACATTAATGTGCTCAATATGGCCTATATTTCAGGTTGTTAATAGTGCTAACATCTTCCTGACATACAAAACTTAGTGGAATATAATTATAAAAGTCCATTTAATAGTTTTAAAGCACTAATATCAAAATTATTCTATAAAGAAGACTTCAGCCCATAATTAGTGTTCACCACAGTATGCACTAAATCTTTCTGGAGTACCATCCCCATCTATATAATCAGAAAGTTCTTGCCCTACTGAAAAGATACTGAAGAAGTCTACTATATCCAATTATATTTGTATTTTATCTAGTTTATAGTATTTCTTTGAAGCTTAAAAGTTATATGTCACAGATGCAAAAATAATTTACAGCAACATTTCAAAACACATGTTTTCATAAAACACAACTGATTTATGAAGATAAAAGGATCACTTTCTTTGAAAATTACTTTCAAAGAGTTTTAGGGTCCAACCACCATTTTCATGATTTTCTCCATAGATAACGGTCTGGTGTAGGCTGCAGTCAATTGCTACATAATTTTTTATCCATCAAGGCTTAATGGAAAGAAGTAAGATGAAAAGGAAATATAAATTTAAAATCTCTGTTCATGGTCTAATGGCTTGTTAACCAGCCAACTTTCCATTTGCAGAAAGCCTTCATTAAGACACCATTAAGGATGGCATTAAAAATTCTGAGCTGTTCTGGACTGTAAGTTATGTCTCACATAACAAATTTTAGTTGTGTTCCTTCAGCTCTAATATCTGTATGTAAATATATATTGTGTTACTTATATCCTGCTATAGGAATATAATGGTACAGACTATTGCAAAATATAGTCCTCAGTTTGAAAAATTCCTTCTTGAAATAAGATGATATCCTTTGAAGCAATATGGATAGAGCTGGAGATCATTATCCTAAGCCAACTAGCACAGGAACAGAAAGCCAAATACCACGTTCTTACTTATAGATGGGAGCTAAAAACTGAGTAGTATTTGAGGGTAAAGGGAAGGAGATGGGTGAGGACCAAAAAACTACCTATTGGGTTCTTACTATCTGGGTAGCAAAATAATCTGCAAATCCAACCCCTGTGACATGCAATTTACCTATATTAACAAACCTGCACATTACCCCTGAACCTTAAATGAAAGTTAATAAAAAATCTAGATCATGTACAGAATCTGGGCCTTATATATATATGAGAGGGGCATTCCATAGTGGGAGATGAGCTCTGACCCGTTATGTAGAATAATTGCCAAAGCAGAAGACAAGAACTGAGCATTTTAAATAATAAAAAAAAGTTCATTACTTTGTTTTATAGGCACTTCAAATTCATCATGAACGTGATTTGAACTTCTCATCTTTCCCTCCAATCCTTGTGTTCTTCTAAGCAGAATTATAGAAGTATTAAATTTATACTTTCCTGCACCACTCCCGGTTACATTCCAAGTGTATTTTAAATCTTTCTACACCTCTCCAGATCCACTACTCTCATTTGAATTCAACATTTTTTTTTTACCTAGATGGTCTCTCGTTCAGCTTTATTGAGACAGAGTTTACATGAAATACCATTTAATCTTTTCAAGGAACAATTCAATGATTTTTGGTATTTTCAGAGTTGTGCAACCATCATAACAGTCCATTTTAGAACATGCTCATCACCCCCAAAAAGAAACCTTTTGTCCATTAACAATCATTCCTCATTTCCCCCAATTCCCCTAGTTCTAAGTAACCACTGATGTACTTTCTGTCTCAGTAGGTAACCTATTACAGACATTTTGAACCATTGGTATCATACAGGATGGGTCTTTAGGGACTTGCTTCTTTCACTTGGCTTAATGTTTTAAATGTTCGTGCATGTTGCAGCATCTATCATTACTTCATTTTCATTGCTAAATAACATTATGCCATATAAATCTACCATATTTAATTTATCCAATTGTCAGTTAATGGGCATTTGGGTTGTTTCTACTTTTTGTTATTATAAATAATGCGGCCATGAATATTCAGGTATAACTTTTTGTGTGGACATATGTTTCAGTTCTCCTGGAGTGTAAATCCTAGGTCATGTGCTAACTGCATGTATAAGATTTTATGAATTGCTAAACTGTTTTCCAAAGTGGCTGCTCCATTTTACACTTCTACTAGCAGTGCATGAGTGTTCAAAATTTATCCATATCTTCACTGACAGTTGCTATTTGCTAATCTTTTTTTACTATAGTCATCCTAACAGGTATAAAAATAGCATCTCATTGCTTTGGTTCACATTTATTTATGACTGATGACATTGTACATCTTCTGTGTGTTTATTGGTCAATTGTAGATTTTGTTTGGATAACATGTAAGCAAACCCTTGTCCCATTTTTAAATTGGTTTGTCTTTATATTATTGAGTTGTAGGTGTTCTTTCTATATTCTACCAACAAGTCTCTTATCAGATTTATAATTTGCACAAATTTTGTCCCAAACTGTAGGTTGTCTTTTCACACTTTTGATAGTGTACTTTCAAGCATATTTTAAAATAAAGCCCAATTTTTTTTTTTTTTTTTGAGACGGAGTTTCGCTCTTGTTACCCAGGCTGGAATGCAATGGCGCGATCTCGGCTCACTGCAACCTCCGCCTCCTGGGTTCAGGCAATTCTCCTGCCTCAGCCTCCTGAGTAGCTGGGATTACAGGCACGCGCCACCATGCCCAGCTAATGTTTTGTATTTTTAGTAGAGACGGGGTTTCACCATGTTGACCAGGATGGTCTCGATCTCTTGATCTCGTGATCCACCCGCCTCGGCCTCCCAAAGTGCTAGGATTACAGGCTTGAGCCACCGCGCCCGGCCATAAAGCCCAATTTATGTTTAAAAAAAAAAAAAAAAAAAATTTCTTTTTTAAAATAATAAAATTTATTGTTTTTTTTTTTTTTTTTTTTTTTTTTTTTTTTTTTAAAGAAGTCAGGGACTGGAGAGTAATGGGATGGATTTTAATTACTCCTTTAATGCCTTTGTTGAAGTTCTAAATGACAGCCTATTTGGCACAAGAGTAAAAACATACCCAGCAGTTTTGTCAAGACCATGACCTTCCAATCAATGGAGTGTGTGATCTCCAGGATAACTTAGGTCATTTTCTGAAAGAAGCTGCTGTAGCATTTCTCGCCACACTAAACTGCTCCCCTTGGAAGAAGTTTTGGGGCCTAGCCTAAGTCCCAACCTTTGCTCATTAGGGGGCATTTCAGGAAGTAGCATACATTTTCTTCACCCTAAATATTCCATTTTGATAGTAAAGATTGGTTTCCAGAACTTTCCATTCAAACTAGAAACCCACTATCATTTAAAGTCCTTTGATTAGGAAGCTGCTTAGGGTATTCCTTCCATAATGACTTAGTTGAAAACTGCAGAATTCCTTGTTCCTGAATTGGTAAATGAGGCTTCCAAATGGGCAAGGAGGCATGTAAAATGGGGCACTATCTCTTTCCTAGCCCTTTCCCGTCCACTTTGTTCTTGTTCTCATATCCCCAGCCGTCTCTGGCTCGCTCTTGACCTAACTGTAAGAGCAGTTCTGGTGGTGGTGAGTATATAAGAAGCAACTGGCTCGGAAGGTCATTGGCTCAGGATGAAACCCCATTCTGCCCTGAGGCCCTCAGCCTAGGAGCCGGACCTTTATCTACCACCCTCTCTTTGGATCTTTTATCCTATCATCCCCTAATTTGGGTTGATCTCATTGCTGTCTTAATTGCCTATTTGTCTTTTTGAAATTGATCTGTGTTCCTCATCTCCCAGGCTCTGCTTGACCCCCTCATAGGCCTGCTGTGCTCTGTTGCCACCCAAATCCAGAGGAAAAACACATCTAAGTCCTCACGGCTATATTCTACCAGATAACTCTGTGACTTCAGGCAAGCGGCTGAACCCACTTTGGACTCAGTCTCTTTCTGTGACACCACAGGTTGTCCTGGATCATCTCTAGGGTCTCCTAGAATTTGAAAACTCTAGGAACCACGGAGCCTCTTCCTTTTCTCTCTCCACCCATCCATCTTTTATCTGACTGTTTCCAGCTAATAATCATGAGTGCAAAGTGCTGTGACATGCAGGTAAAACTCCACCCATTTCAAAATAAAAACTTGTAAAGATAATAGCAGTTTATTCTTATTTACACCACACTGTATAGTTAGTTACAGAGTGTGAAGGTGGTATGTTCACAGTCTTATTTTATGCCTTTGTAGCTAGGTTGCCAGCATTTGAAGGCAACTCCTCCACATAAGCAGCAGGAAAATGGCCTTTTTTCCCATTCAAAGATCCAAACCACCATCCTTCTTCTTTTTTCTCGTGTATAATCACAATGTCACCTGTGAAAATACACCATTAGTTAGACAAATGGGTCTCTGCAATGTGAACACATGCCTCAGCCCAATTGATAAGAGTTTTAAGGAGATTCTGCTTCAAGGAGTTACTTGGTATTGTTGTTTTCTGCACTTCATTCAGATTAAGCCAAATGTATTGAACACCTCTGTATAAAGCAGGCATAATCCAGAGAATATTAAAAAGAGTAAGATAATGAACAACTGAGATATATCGTAAAATAATTGCTTAAAAACAGGATCACAGCCAGGCGCAGTGGCTCATACCTGTAATCCCAGCACTATGGGAGGCCGACGTTGGCGGATTACTTGAGGTCAGGAGGTTTGAGACCAGCCTGGCCAACATGGTGAAACCCCATCTCTACTAAAAACACAAAAATTAGCCAGGGATGGTGGCACACGCCTATTGTCCCAGCTACTTAGGAGGCCGAGGAAGGAGAATCACTTGAACGCTGGAGGCGGAGGTTGCAGTGAGCCAAGATCACGCCACTGTACTCCAGCCTGGGCAACAGAGTGAGACTGTCTCAAAAAAGAAAAAAAAAAGATCATGTTGGGTCATATATCCTTATGCTGCCTGGCTCACTTTGTAGCTGATAGATTGTCACCAAACTCTTTCTGGGTGTCCGTACTTTGAGGGTTTCACCTGTTGGTGTTAATGATAGTTTGGTGTGTTGACTGCTATAAGCGTGTCTCACCAACAGTCATTTCATAAGATCAAGACAATGCCTCTGCATTATTCCTGATTTCAGAGTCCAAAATTTTAACTCACAGCTTTGCACAGAAATGTAACTCCCTATTCAACAACTTAGACAACCTTATTACAACATCAATTTGGAGACAATATTTTTTAAAGCAATGATTCAAATGAAGAGAATTCCATAAAGAATTGGACAGAAAACATGGCTCTTGTCATGAAAGTAGAAATATCTGCTCCCTTCAGGATCCAAGAGCTACTTTTTCTTTGGTGCCATTCTGAGGTAATTTTTCAGTCTTCCTTTCATTCTTTTCCTCAGCAATTTTCTTTCTAAGACAAAGGAGACTATCAACTCCTTTTCTACCTTTTTTTGGTCATATGGTCATAAATCACTATTCTTAAAGGAGATCATTCTCAGTCTAAGTTCTTCCTCTAATGGGTTCTCTCAGATCAGTAAATTGACATAATCTATTAACAAGAATTGAAACAAATGATTTCAAATTGTATTGCCTGCTTTCCTATGCCTCCAATGTTGTGTTTTATTTAAAGAAACTACTTAGACTATAAAGAATAAGTAGGCTTTGCAACCAACAGAGAACTGAAAACAAGATAATCAATTTATTGTGAACAATGTAACTCAAATGCAGCATCCATGGTGGCATCTGGGAAGTATGTCTTTTATTCACATAGGAAGAAAAGTAATTGCCTGGAGACATATGACTGGCAAACACTGCAAAGGAAACACCCAATAAACAATAGCAAATATATGGTGTCCCTGTCGTCTGGCTACAAAATGTATCTTGATTTTCCACTGGCTCTGGGAGCCGTGTCCTGGTCATGGATAATATGCTTTCTCCCACAACATTACTCTTTCTCTCTAAGCCTTCTGTTTCCAGATCTCTGCCTTAGCACTAACATCCAAACGTGGTTTCTAACTGGACACATAAAGAAGGTTGAGGCTGGAGACTTTATTCTTTAATATTGTTGTGGTTTATATCATAAACCTACTACATAATACCTTTCCATGTTAAGTAAAAATCTGTGACACAAAGAAGGGAAGAAGGGGGTTCTTACTCTTTTTTTGAGATGGAGTCTCGCTCTGTCACCCAGGCTGGAGTGCAGTGGTGCGATCTCGGCTCACTGCAACCTACGCCTCCCGGGTTCAAGTGATTCTTCTGCCTCAGCCTCACAAGTAGCTGGGACTACAAGCACACGCCACCACGCCTGGGTAATTTTTGTATTTTTAGTAGAGACAGGGTTTCACCATGTTGACCAGGGTGGTCTTGATCTCTTGACCTCATGATCCGCCTGGCTTGGCCTCCCGAAGTGCTGCGATTACAGGCATGAGCCACCACGGCCAGCCAAGAAAGGGGTCTTACTCCTTAGACTAGCTGTAAAAAGCTTTCCTGAGAAGTAAGTGAGACCAGTACTAAGCTGGGAGTCAGCTGACCCAGGTTCTAGAATTTGCACTTACACTAAGTCAAAAGAGGAAGTCACTTCACATTCCTGCATGTCTAGCTTCTAAAAAATAAAAAGGTGCGGCACACCTCTAATCACCTTCCGTTACTGACATTCTACCCCAGAGTGCAGTGTGATTCGGAGCATGACTGCCTTACCAGGTTCAATCCTGCGCTGCCACAGCCTGTGACATTAACCAAAGCACTTAACCTTTCTGTGTGTCAGTCTCCTCTGCTATGAAATGGGAATGAATACCAATAAAACCCTTTAAGGGTTTTATGAATGTTAAATTGGACAACAGGCCTGCAACCATGTCTGGCACATAGTAAACAGAATGTGTTAGTTATTATCGTTTTGCGAGCTTTCATTTTAGATGTGCTTATCTTTCAAGAAGGGTGATTATAAACCTGAACTGATTTGACATGGTGGTAACTCTTAAGGCTGCTATGCTAAGACAGGGTTTTATTCATGTTAAGAATCTCAATATGGGAAGGCAATTAAAATATTTGATATTTGAGAAAGATTCTTACCCTTTTCCAAATTCAGCTCATCATCTTGTCTGGCTTGAAAAGAATATAAGGCCTTGCAAAGTCTGCTGAGCTGGGCCACACCAGGGGCTGAAATAGATTAAGCTGTAATTACTACGCTGTGTTAGCAGGCAAATGAATATGAGCTGAAGCTCTGGTTATTTAACAGTGTGGTGCAGAGTTTCAATATATTAAATTTTTCTTGAAAGGAAAGTGTGTAATTTTACATAATGTTCGTTCCTTGATTCAATAACCGTTTATGATGTACTTTCTATATGTATGGACTACGTATGTAACCGAAAACTATATCATAATACAGGAAATCATAAGTCTAGAGAAAAATATCATTCTATGATAATAGAAATGAAGATGCCAATATCTTTTTCCATGTGAGCTTAGTTGGCAACACTTAGATAATAGGTGTGGTGGTTGCATGCATGTTTTGGAAAACATTTACCAGTTTTGCCATTCAGATATAAATAGGGGATACTTGGAGCACGTGCATATTATCATCATCCCTAGCCGTGTATGGAATTATTTCGCAAACAGTGTTCCTTAATATATTCCTTAATATATCATGTGAGCCATAATGTCCTGGTTTTACTGAAATTCTTTTTTTTAAACCAATTTCTATTTTAAAAATTAGATAGTCAAGATCATGGTAATTATATTTGAACATTCAGGGACAGTGACACGTGTGTGTGCTGAAAGATGAAGAGCAGTGTGGTGTGTGGTGCACAAAAGACTGAAGTCAGATGGCTGCTAACAGGGGTTTGTAGGCCATGAGTCCAAGCCTTGGCAAGCAACCTGGCTCACCATGTGTCTTGCAGAGAGGACAGGCTTCTCATGGGAGTTGGGAGGAGGCTGTGGAGACAGAGCTGCAAAACTCCTCAAAATGGTTTAGGCATGATTATGTGGATGGCAAATAACAGGTCATTTGAATAAGGTGGATGCCAGTCATCTGATATCTGTGGCAACTTCTCATATTATAAAATACTTTCCCAAAGCTCTATTCTTCTTAACTTCTTCCCATTTTTACATAAAGCTGCAGAGTCTATCAAATTAATCAGTCCCAATGGAAATATAAATTTCCTTAAACAGATACAGGTCAAAGTGGCTCTGAAAATAAAATTTAAATATAGCGACATGCCCTGTCAGTAGGACCCAGGCCAAATGATTCTGGGCATGGGATTACCTGGAGCTGAAGAACTTGGATTGCTCTGCCCACCAGAAGATGCCTTGCTCACAATATTCTCTAATCTCTTCATCAAAAAAGGCCGAGATATTTTCACATAGCTATGAGTATGCTCCTGTTCAAATGGTATAAAAAGCCATATTTTGCAACATGATTATCATAAACATTCATGAAAATTAACTCTTCTGTAGCTGTTTTTTAGACAGAGTCTCACCCTGTTGCCCAGGCTGGAGTGCTGTGGCATGATCTTGGCTCACTGCAACCTCCACCTCCTGGGTTCAAGTGATTTTCCTGCCTCAGCCTCCCCAGTAGCTTGGATTACAGGTGCCTGCCGCCACGCCTGGCTAATTTTTGAATTTTTAGCAGAGACAGGGTTTTACCATGTTGGCCAGGGTGATCTGAAACTCCTGACCTCAGGTAATCCGCTGCCTCAGCCTCCCAAAGTGCTGGGATTACAGGCATGAGCCACTGTGCCTGGACTGGAAATTTTTTAATTGAGTGTATAAAATATCAGTAGATTTCTAAGCCCTACTGTGTTTCAGTTTTGAGCTGAAGCCTTAATATTTTCAGAATTACAGAATTACTATACTTTATAGCCTGTGTTTCCAATTCTAACCTATGTGTCTAGGTCAGATAGTAACATTCATAGCATTACTTTTACAAATACAAGTTTAGTTGGCTTAATGCAAGTGAAATGATTACAACCCTTTAAATGACTGAGACTGTTTTCAAGATCTTGAGCCTCTTAGAAAACTGTCCCTTCATCACAAGATGATTACAGCACCCCCTTCTGATCAGTAACAAAAATAGCCACAAGCAATAGCTACCATGTATGTTCACCTGCTCATCCACTCCTGAAGAGTGCAGCACTGGGAAAATACGTCTATGTGAATTTCAGAGCTCTACTGATGCATTACCTGCATTAGGCACCATGTTAAGCAGATGAGACTAATATATACCACAGAATCTTATAGGTCTGTATGAATATTGAAATTAAGTTTAATAGAAATTTTACTGTAAAAGCACATTCAAAGGATAAAATTCAGATATGATGAGTAAGAAGAAATTGAAAGTGTTTTTTAGCTCCTCACAGTAGTTTAGGGTACACAGGATGTATTCAGTTGTGTCTAGCTCTTGTTTGTGCTCAAAAGAAATAAAAACATTTTTATATAATTAGGTATATGAATACTAATAACACATAGAATTTCTAACTGCTTTTTTTTCCCCCTGATGCTACTTTAAGCCACTCCACCCAGCAGGCCCAATCAAGAAATCACATCCAGTCTCTTGACTGTTACCTTCTCCCTCCACCTGAAGATGGAGTTACTACAAGGATGGCTGGGCTGTGGTCTTTTCTCAAGTTCTGCTAATGTTGATGACAGTTTGTAGGAGTTTGCTTCCAATAGGTCTAGTTTCAAATTGTTCTGTGGATACATCATTTGGCCATGTGAGCAAATTTCTAGAAAATGAGGCACAACTGGATAGGAATATCAGAATAACTTTCAAAATAACAAAGAGGTTAGAAAAGTATACATTTAACTCATACAGATATTCACTGAAAATGCCAAAGAGAAAAAGAAAATGGGGGAGAAAACCCTTTAAGCAGTCTCGAGGAAGGTTTTAGTTGTTGAGTGTGTCTAAGTCTGTACTCTGGGGGTAACCAAGAAACCTTGGTAATATATTAGTATTTTATGGCAATGAAGAGCTTTTACTCAATATTCTGCTGAGGGATGAGAAAGGGAATAAGTGTTGATTGTAGAAAGTAGATTTTTGGTGGTCTGTGAAGAAGGTGAGCCATCAGTGCTCAGTATTGTGAACAGAACTGAATTAACATCAATAGAATCACATGAAATTGAATGTGAGCTTCGTTCGTTCTTTGAGAGGGTGAGGTCTTATATTACCCAGAAAGTTTGCAGGAACACTTCTGGAAACTGGGAACAATATTCAATGGTACTTGGGTATAAAAATAATAAGTCAAGCTAAAGATACACTCATAGTCTCTCTCTGTTCTTAATTTGACCTTGAACTAGAAACTCTATAATTAACTTGTCAGGCTGGGTCCAGCCAGTGTGAATCACATAACAGAATCTAAGCATTGGAAGGGTCCTATTTATCCAGCCCCCTCCTCACCATTATTCCTCTTTCCCCCACACCTCCACCATGGGAATTCCTAATGCTAATACCCCTGCCAGGGTGTCACAGCCATGGACAGAAGACGTCCAATTGGTGGAGAAGGCCTCTAATCATTGGAGCAATCCACTGCATTGTGGGGCAGGCTTACCTAAGACAAAACTGAAAGCTCCCCCATGCCTTTTACCATTAGACCTTCACTTGATAGTATCATAGAGCACATCTAGCTCCTCCTCTATGTGGCCCTCTTTCTAGTATCTAAAGATAGTATTTAATCTAAGTTCCTCTAGTTTTCTCAACAATTTCTCCTATGACATTGCTTGTGAACATTCTTGATGCAAATATGGCACTTCAAGGACCAAGATACAATGAAATAAGGAATAATTTAAATAAAAGAGTTTCCTCATCTAAGAAACCTTCTCTGGGTAACCCAAAATTTACCAGTATCATTAGTGTCTGGCTACCCAGCTGCAGAGCATGTGTAATGAAATCATGCGGATATTTGGCATTCATCACTTAAAGGTTCACAGTTGCTCCTTCACCAGATCATAAATGCTGGAAGTTCCAGGGTCAGATGCTCTCCCTTCTTGTGACCTCCACTCTGTGCTTCATGTGAGAGGACCCAGATGATCCTAATACATGTATGCTGGTAATAACAATGACAAAATTCTGCTCAAGGACAGCCAAAGGAATAAATGTGTAACCCAATGGCCTCATGAAATGCTCTTTATGACTTTATTTTGGCAAATATTATTTGCACTGAATTAGTTAACTAAACAGTTTGTATGGTCACAGAAAATGTCCTACAGTCTGCTTTATAATTTCATAAAGATTGCAGCCACACATTATTGCAGGTATGTTAGGCCTCTGTTCCCAAGTGCACACAATGCAGGCCTTTCTTTTCACAAGAAGTGTTAGGCTTGTTTCTGCAACAGCACCCCACTCAAGAAAGGCTTTTTAAAAACTAGGTCAGAGGTACCTCACTGCATCCGTCTTCTTTCACCAAAAAACTATTAAAATTGCCAGTCTGGGAACAATTATCAGGTACCTGCATTCACAAGAGAGTTAGGCTATAAGCAAGGAAAAGAAAATGCCCAAATTCCTGTATTCTTCAAAACACTGCTAAAGGCCAGGCGTGGTAACTCATGCCTGTAATCCCAGTGTTTTGGGAGGCCAAGGCGGGCAGATCACCTGAGGTTGGGAGTTCGAGACCAGCCTGACCAACATGGAGAAACCCTGTCTCTACTAAAAATACGGGGTGGGTGTGGTGGCATATGCCTGTAATCCCAGCTACTCAGGAGGCTGAGGCAGGAGAATCGCTTGAACCCAGGAAGCCGAGGTTGTGGAAAGCTGAGATCATACTATTGCACTCCAGCCTGGGCAACAAGTGCGAAATTCGATCTCAAAAAAAAAAAAATTGCTAAAAAATTTATCTCTTTGAATGATTCCCAGATTAACCCCAGTCTACTAGTGATCTCTAATCAAAGTAGAAGAAACCCATATGTTGCACACTGGTGCTATATATCTGTTCATTTTTATTTCTATGTAAAATTCATCAGCTTTTTGTTAACTATCCCTTTCATGTGAGTTCCTCTGAAGTGGCCAAAATGTCCATCAATCTCCACGAATGTCTCTGGGGCTAGAGTTCACGCACTCAGCACAAAGGCCAGGAGGCCCACCTCCCTGCCTCTTCTACCATCTCCCCACCCCAATTCCCACCCTCAAAGAACCTCGCCTCCAAAGTTGCTTCTGGTTTCCCAAGAAGCTTTTGCCTCCTACCCCAGACTGCCCTCTTCCCTCTGTGCAGCAACATCGTCTCTTTTTCCTGTTATTCTCTTCATCAGCAGAGGGATGAATGGAAAATACCATCTTTATAAAAAAGACTAGTTTTTGAGCTCCTCCTGTGAGCACTGTGCTAGCATTTACTAAATAATATTTCACCCTCTCAAAAGCCCCATGAGGTAGGTACCAGTATCACCATTTTGCAGGTGAGAAAACTGAAGTTGCCCCAGGTCCCTGTAAACAGCCCAGCTAAATCTAAATACAGGCCTTTCTGAATGCAGACCCTGTGTTTCCTGTCACTCACTTTTCTAAACTGGGTTAAAGTGCACATGGTTTCTAGGCCCTTAAAGAATGACTCTGTTTTGGAGAATACTATTTTAGACACAATTCTTTTCTGAGGACACCAAAGCAAACCTTTCTAGGTAGTTGGATTTTTCCAGATCCCTCAAGTGACTTATGAAGCTGACCCTATAAGCTCTCCCACTAGATTTTTCTATGTCATGAGAAAGGAAAGGCAAACAAAGCGAAGTGGACCAGAAACAAGTATTCTAAAAATAACTTTTTCATCGCTAAATCTAGGGAACTGCTCTCTGCAAACATTTACCTCATCCATTAACGCTGCAGTGTCTTTCTGGCTCTTTGCATCGGAGAAGGAGGAGTTGCTGGAGTACGTATTAAGCATTCGTTCCAGGCCTGAAAATGAAATCATGTTTTCAGTCACCTTTCACACTATCCTAGTGGGACATAGCTGGGAGTCAGTCACTTTCAAAGGGAGCCTGAATCTAGAAGTGAAACCAGTGGGATTTCTTTCTTTTTTCTTTTCTTTTTTTTAGATGGAGTCTTGCTCTGTTGCCCAGGCTGGAGTACAGTGGCATGATCTCAGCTCACTGCAACCTCTGCCTTCCAGGTTCAAGCAATTCTCCTCCCTCAGCCTCCTGAGTAGCTGAGATTACAGGCGTGTGCCCCCACATCCAGCTAATTTTTGTATTTTTAGTAGAGATGCAGTTTCACCATGTTGGCCAGGCTGGTCTCTAACACCTGACTTCATGATCCATCCACCTTGGCTTCCCAAAATGTTGGGATTGTAGGCGTAAGCCACTGCACCAGCCCCTGGCAGGATTTCTTAAATGGCTGAGGGAGTCTCTGCAGGTAGTTCTTAATAAATTTGACCGAATGATAAATGAGCTGTTCCTTTACCTTTCTCTTCATTTAATGAAATTTGAGAAATGCTGCTGCTTAAAGCATCTGGACTATTATTTTTCCAGATGAGATTTTGAATCTTTCAGTCAACCCATTCTAGCAATTGCTAATATTTACACCATGTTGGCTTCTTTCTTATTATGGCATTCACATCACTAAATATTTTTTATCTTGAATTTGCTCTCCAGTATTCCACTACAATGAGTTACTGTAGTCCATATAAAACAAGCTACTGTGTGGACTTTAGAATCACAAGTGTGGAGTCATTTTTGTCATCCGTGTTGCTTTAGAGCTGCTTCACATTCTAACATGCCTAATTTCTAAATACAGAATTTAATTTGAGTGATTTTTACATTGTTTCAAAAGTCAAAAGAAACAACCCAAAAAAACCTCCAAAACTCTTGTGCACAGGAGTTTACCATGTTTTAAACCAAACACATCGTCTCTCATACTAGCCAATTTCAGAAACACAGTGAAAATGCTACATTTCTAAAAATAGTAGTATAATACTTATATAGGTTTCATAAATAGACCAAAATGTGATTTTCCTTTTTTCTTTTTTTTGGCTTTCTCTTTTCTTCTTTTTTATATTTTTTTATTCACACAATTTAGGTTTGATATATGGTTGTTTAAATGAGATGACCCCTGCCAAATAGCAAAAGCAGTTAATCCTAACTCTAAATGAAACCTCTGAGCATAATATGGTCCCTTTTCTGGCCATTCGAAGAGACAGTTACACACCTTCCTTGTCTTTTGAGGCTTTTTCAATGTCTCTCTGCAGTCTCAATAATTTTGGTTTTATTAAAGACTTTCGTCTCTCTTTATCCATTGCATTGTTAAGATCTTCTTCCTTTAGGAAAAAAGAAGGATGTCTAACAAGGGGGAGGAAGTAAAAGTTGCTTTTCCCTGTCCATACTGACACTTTCACTGGCTGCATTTAATTTTAACTTTATAAAAGAAAAAAAAAATATTAAGCAGGATAATCTTTAGTTTTACACACATTGTTCTACCTGTTTTAGACCTGATTAATAAGAAAATATCTTCCTGTTCACAACTTGAGAGTCACATAGCCAAGTACTTTTCAATAGAGCAAATTATTCTTTGAGAATGAACCCTTACTATAGTTATTTCAGTTTCTTGATATATCTATTTGTTATATACTTACTGCTTCCTTATTTACCTTTGTTCAAGTTAGAGTCGTTTAATGGCCCAAATGTAATATCATGTATGTGCTTCGGGCTGTGACTGCCTCAGGAGTGGAAGACATTTTTACTGAGTTCTGTGTTGGCAGAGCTGGGAATATGTGAGCTAAAACACATATGCTCTGCCCAGAATGGGTTTATTATTTAGTTAGGCCTTGAAGCACAACATTAAAGAAACTAGCAATACAAGACCACATGCATTCACAAACGGTACAGACACCATGAGTGGAGGCAGCTGACAGTTTTAAGGAGGCAAGAAGACATAACTGTCCAGTCAAGGAAAGATGGCAAAGGGCACTCCAGGCGGGAGAACTGGCAGGAGCAAAGGGCAGAGGGAGGACTGTGGGAAATGTATGAGGAACAATAAAGACACCTGTTGCATGAGCAAAAAAAATAGTGGAAGAAAAAATTGTTCAGGGATTTGAGGCTGGATTTTAGGGCTGAAGTAGGAATTTAATAACATAGGGTATGAGGAATCATTCATGATATCTGAGTTTTCACATGCATTATTTCAACAATTGAATAAAAAAAGGAATGGATGGTAGGGTTGCGGTGAGGAGGTTGCTAAACGTGAGTGTGGCAGAGGAACAGAAACCCATGGAGAAAGAGGGGAGCTAATGACTCAAGATGGGAGGAAAGGATGCAGGCTTCTCTGATAAAGAAGGAGAAGAATTATGATCCTGGCTGAGAGATTACCTTTAGATAGAACTTCACAAACAAGAAGTGTGAGGATTTAGAGCAAAAGGAATAGCCTCTATAAAAACATATACAGATAAAAATATTTTTTATGTATTTTGCATTGTACATTACAAAAGTTTATTTATATTCTAGGCCAAGTGTGGTGGTTCCCATCTGTAATCCCAGTACTTTGGGAGGCCGAGGTGAGTGGATCACTTGAGGTCAAAGGTTTGAGACCAGCCTAGCCAACATGGTGAAATCCTGTGTCTACTGAAAATACAAAAAATTAGCCAGGTATGGTGGTGTGCACCTGTAATCCCAACTACTTGGGAGGCTGGGTCAGAAGAATCACTTAAACCCAGGAGACAGAGGTTGCAGTGAGCCGACATCGTGCTGCTGCACTCAGCCTGGGCCACAGAGTGAGACTCCATCTCTAAATAAATAAATAAAAGTTTCTTTATATTATTTATTACATGCAACTCCTACAATTCAATGGTTGGTTTTATTTTCCTCATTTTACCTGTAACACAGAGAAATATAAAAGAAGGCCCAAGCTGAAACAGTTAGTGTTCCCTCTTTTTTTTTTTTTTTTTTTTTGAGACAGTGTCTTGCTCTGTCACCAGGCTGGAGTGCAGCGGTGTGATCACTGCAATCTCTGCCTCCCAGGTTCAAGCTATTCTCATGTCCCAGCTTCCACAGTAGCTGGGATTACAGGCATCCACCACCATGCCTCGCTAATTTTTACATTTGTAGTAGAGACAGGGTTTTGCCATGATGATCAGGTTGGCATCTAACTCCTGAAATCAGGTGATCCACCCACCTCAGCCTCCCGAAGTGCTGGGATTATAGGCATGAGCCACAGAGCCTGGCTTGTGTTCCCTCTTAAGACCCACCTACTTTGACCCCAAATTCTCTACCATTCCTTCACATGTCAGCACATAGCTGAGGCCCAAGCTGACATCACACCCTCAAGTAAACTCTGACTCAACTGCTAAGATGGCTAAATAAAACTGTTAGCCCTTCCCCGTTGAAGGCATGCGAGTCAGAACATAGCTCCCATGCTAGTCCAAGGCTTCCCTTGGTTTGTTTTGGGACGTCTATTGTTTAAACATGTATTTCCAGGGATACATTACTCCTGAGTCAATTTCAGGATGGCGTATATTGCCATCATTTAACTCTTAAATTTGTCCTCTGTTAAAGATTCGTTAGAAAGAAGGTCAGTACTGGAGGAGGCATATAAAATTAAAGATACAATCTTTTGAACATGGTATTCATGGTATCCTTACAAATATTTTCACCAGGTCACCAGCCCTCCAATTTTTGCACTCAGATTGGTCTGTTTGTTGTACCCTGGTTCATGTAAATTTTGTAACACTGAATAAAAACCAGCCTACACTTACTGACAATGACTATAAAGTCAGACATTGGGGTGCTTTGTTTTAAAGATGTCAAGAAAAAGCTATTCACTCATTTTGAGACACAGTCCCTTCTCTTAGACAACAGACACATGGTTGTGAGTTCTGACACGGTGAAGTTTTATAGAAACCAAAAATTCCCTGTACATGCTAATAAATGAGAAGTCATCATGGCTGCCTGCTTACACTTTGGTAGAACGCTAGTCAAATTTTCAGGAAAATAACCCTTATTTTATTGACAAGTTATTTGATGAGGTCATTTTTGTTATTCTTTGTAAGAAAATAATAGATTTATATTATTGTACATTTTTGCATCTCAGGCCCTGACTACATTATTTGGAAGAAAACAAGCGCTTTCCCAATGGAATCAAATTATTTCCACTCCCATTTCTACCTTGTTTTTGCATTGAATGGACATTGATAGCTAGTATACTTCTCCTTTGTCAGGATAGATGAAAAAAGGACTTAATAAAAAATAGCTGGTCGTTTGTTGCTGTCCAAATGGTGGGGAAAGGGAAAGCCAGTCAGGATTTACTGCTACGCCTGATTTAACCGCCTCTCCCTTCTACCCTTACCTCTTGTTGCATGATCAGAGGTCCAGGGAGGTCATCTTCAGCTGTACTTTTAATCCTAGGGAGGACATGACCAATGGGCTTGTTCTCCATGTCAGAGAAGAATGACACCCCTAATCTGGAGCTTGAAATCCAGAATAAAATATGGCAGAGGACCCAGGGAAACACTATCAGGAATTCTTTCTGCAGATTTTGGTAATTAATAATCAGCTCCTAGAACACTACAATTAAGAATATCAAGAGGGGAGCAGAGTCCAAAATCTTTGAGGCTTGACCCAGAAGGACAGATAATTTGCCCCAAGATAGCAAAGAGGCAACATGCTTGGGCTCTCCCCAGGGATACTGACCAGTTTTCAGCAAAAACACCGGCAGCAGAATCACCCAAATGCCCTCAAAATAAGCCTCCAGTAATCTGGTCCAAGGTTTTCAAGGGAAGGGACCAGGAAAAATGCTGATAGTGACTCCAACCTTCTGGAATCCATGCCTTTGGGTGATCTCCCCTCACACGCACCCTCAAGTATGGGCTGCACTTATTGACTTGCTTCTAGCAAATAGAATATAATGAGATGTTACTTCTTAGATTAGCTTACAAAAGATTATAATTTCTTGGGCATCTGGCTCTGTCTGTCTTGATCACTCATTCTGCGGGGAGCAGGCTGAGACACGGGAGAGACCCATATGGCAAGAAAATGGTATCTCTAACCAACAGCAGGACCAGAGGCCTGCCAACAGCCCTGTGAGTCAGCTTGGCAGAGTCTTCTGCAGGAAGAGCCTGGGGATGTCTGCAGCCCAGCCTAATACCTTGATTGCAGCCTTGGGAGGGGCTCAGAGACACCCGGCTAACCCACAACTGAGTTCCTGACCCACATAAACTATGAGATAATACATGTTTGTTTTAAGCCATTATTTTGGTGGGGGTGAGGGCGGTAATTTGTTACATAGAGATTGGTGCAGACAACCAATTTAAGCACCACGTGATATACAGTGATTAATTATAGGTCGTTGAAATATGTCTGCCTAGCACTACTTTTATAGAAGACCGAATAAGGCAGATTCTGTTTAAAACCCTGCTCGACTTTCTTTCCTTCTAGAGAATACCAAAGAAATGTTTCCATTGCCCAGTTTATAAACCAGAACACTGGTTTTTTTTTTTAAATTTATTTATATGGGCTATGAGAAATCATTTTCATTTATAAAACATAATATTTACTTTCCATTTTTTTCAATGTAAGTCCCTCAGTACCTAAGATCCTCCATTAATGTTACTTTTTCTTTTTTTGCCATTTCATACTTACAAAATAATCTGTTAATAGGAACTCAGATTTGTTTTCTGTAGACAAAGTTGCAGTTTCTTCCATTAGAGCCTGGATATCTTTTTCAACATCTATCTTGCTGATGGCACAGTGAATCTGTGAATGGCACTGCAATGTCAAGGGGAGCAGAATAAGGTTGTCGAAGAAAGGTTTCTGCCCCTTCTTACCAGGCACACCAGAATGGAGAGATCATCTCTACTCACTGTGGTCAGGGTTTGACCAAAGAGAGAAATATGTTGGCTGTACTGGTTTAAGTTATTGCATAAGAGTTGAATTCTTTCCTTCTCCAGCTCCAGAATGCTCTGAAAAGAATGAAAATCAGGGTTTGATCAGCTAGTTGTTATGTAAAACAGACGTCACTCATCAACCACTGACACACCTGAAGACACACTGAGCAAATTCTCATGATTAGCCTCTTGACTATGTCATATCCAAACCACAGTGGAGGGAGATTTCCAGGAGAGGAATGTGTCTTGTTGTCTGTCCTATTACCTTCCCTTAAGAGTGATTTAACTCACACACTTTCCCCACGCTCTTCTGACCCTAAAGGCATATAGGCGGATGCTGTGGGTTACCTAAGTTCACAAGGAAGGGGGAGAAACGAAGAAAAGGAAGCATTTGAGACACATCCATGAATTCTAGAGGAGAGTGAAGGCCAGAAAAGCCCATATCCATATCTTGGAAATGCATTTAGACACTCAATAGTTTCAGAGTTGTTTATCGTACATACAAGACATTCTGCTAGTCTTCAGGGAAGAGAATGCCAAGCCACAAATTCTCTGTTTAAGGAGACTATTTAACAAGAGAAGAACCCCAAAGTCTGATCAATTCATAATCCTACCTAAAATTAGGCCTGGGAGTCAGAGTCCACTGTTTGCAAGTGGGAACATAGCCTCTTTATTTTGTGAGATGACAGAAGTTTCATTATTAGACTCATGACTTTTTAGGTAGGAAGGGTAAATAAGAAAGTGAGGGGAATCACATTTGCCTTGTTAGCTATTAACATTTTAGAGGCCAGGCATGGTGACTCACGCCTATAATCCCAGCACTTTGGAAGGCTGAGGTGGGCAGATCACCTGAGGTCAGGAGTTTGAGACCAGCCTAGCCAACATGGTGAAACCTTATCTCTACTAAAAATACAAAAATTAGCCAGGCATGGTGGTAGGTGCCTGTAATCCCAGCTACTCAGGAGGATAAGACAGGAGAATCCCTTGAACCCACGAGGCAGAGGTTGCAGTGAGCCGAGATCATGCCACTGGACTCCAGCCTGGGCAACAAGAATGAAACTCTGTCTCAAAAAAAGACAAAAAAATTTAGAAAATGTTAATTAGACCCCTGCCAATTAAGTTGCTGACTGGTGGTTTTTAGAGAGGGCAGAAAGGTTTAGCAACTAAGCATTGTTATAGAAGACTGAGTCAGATGGAGTACGCAGGAGATTTCAAGGCTATGTTATGGCAGCATGAAGCTGCTGGGTGTGTGCCCAGGGGAGATCTGGGCTTTGATGGAGGTGGCAGATGTCTAAGACAAAATTCTTTCCATCCTTTTTTTTTTTTTTTTTAAATAAAAGCGAGGCCTGGCTGGGCACGGTGGCTCACACCTATAATCCCTGCACTTTGGGAAGCCAAGGTGGGTACATCGCCTGATGTCCAGAGTTTGAGACCAGCCTGGCCAAGATGGTGAAACCCTGTCTCTATTAAAAATACAAAAATTAGTCAGGGCGGTGGCACGCACCTGTAGTCCCAGCTACTCAGGAGACTGAGGCAGGAGAATTGCTTGAAGCCAGGAGGTGGAAGTTGTAGTAAGCTGGGATCGCACCACTGCACCGCAGCCTGAGGGACAGAGTGAGACTCTGTCTCAAAAAAAAAAAAAAAAAAAAAAAGCCTGGACATTCATCCTTTTATCCAGAGAAGGCCAGCTCAGTTGCTCTCATACCCACCATCCCAACTCCTCCATCCCACAAAGAGCACCAGCAATCATCTTTCATGAACAAGGCTTGGGGCAAAATTGGTGGGTAACATGACCATAGGGAAGAAGAAAGATGAGTATGTCTCAAGGCCCTTGGTAGTGCGAGGGAGGTGAGAATGGAGAGTGACAAAGATCACTGGATTCTCCTTGCTCACCTGTTGGCATGCCCACAGGAGCCCATTGGCCTGATCCAGTATGGCATTCCTCTATATCCCTGTGTTGTTAATTCATCTATGGTATATGATGATTAACATTCTAAAAAATTTCTTTATACTTTTAATTCTGGTAAAATTTATATAATATGACATGCCATTTTATTCACCGTAAGCATCCATTTCAGTGTCATTAACAGCATTCACATTATTGTTCGACTGTCACAATTCATCTCTAGAACTTTTTTCATCTTGCAAAAGTAAACTGTACCCATGAAACAACAACTTATCATTTCTTACTCCCCGCATCCCCTAGGAATCACTATTCTACTTTCTGTCTCTGTGAATTTAACTCCTCTTGGTACCTCCTACAAGAGGAATCATACACTATTTGTTCTTTTGCATCTGGCTTATGTCACTTAGCATAATGTCTGCAAGGTTCATCTGTGTTGTAGCATGTGCCAGAATTCCCTTCCTTTTTGGGTGAACAATATTCCATGGTATGTGTATACCACATTTTGTTTTTTGTATATAGTCATTTGAACACCACTTGTAAATCAAAGTAGTAAAAGGCTCAGGCAGTAACTACGAACATCTATGCCAATCACATGCAGCTTTAGATTTTGTGCAAGTGTCCTGACATTTGGATGGAAGCCTGGAACTGTGCCCCCATGGCAATCTTAGTTGCCTCTGAAGCTGCACAATTTTCATATGTCAATGGGAGTCAAATGCATTTGTTTATGCTGGCAGTCTCCTGAGGCTTTCACAAAATTGTAGGCACCAGTCATTTGAATGTGGCCGGCTGCCCTTTCTCCCAGATAAAAGATTAAAGACACAGAACAGCCTACCAAATGTTTTGTTTATTCAAGGGCAGAATTGATATGCCTCATAACAAATATGTAAAACAAATTCTGCTCAGTTGTTTGGGTCTCCTATGTGATAATCTTCAAAAAACAGTCCTTACCCTATAGAAAAAGATATAGAAACCAGCTCTTCTGTTTTAGCCTATGAGCAAAAGACAAGAGAAAATAAAAACCAGGTTTTAGAACACATTGCATCCCTAGAGGGCAGGTGTTTCTTTACTTTGACAAGGGCTGAATCACTGGCATCAATCTGAGACTAGAATAACCAGTGTCCTTAGTGACATGGTAATGCTCAACAGATTTTAATTACATTCCAGGGAAATCATTAAAATGATCTATGTTTGCTCATGAAAGGGGAGGGAATAAATTCCACTGTGCAAAGGAGAGATCCATATCTCATGTCATGACTTGTTACTTTCTATTATTTTGTTCTTTTAATATAAAATAGGTGGTAGAGAAGCAAGATACTGTGGAAGACCTCAAACTGTCCTCTTAAGGTTCCACAATAGTACATATGAAGAAAGTGTGGTCAAGGAGTTATCAAGAAAGATTCAGATTTCAGCAGATTTAGAGCCTGTCGGGGCCGCAGCCATCATGACAATTTATGTTCTTCATTCGTTCCCTTCAGTTCCTGCTGTCCTGGCCTTTGGTCTGGTGCTACAGGAAGGGCTCAAAGAGGTTTTGTTTTCATTTAAATGGCTGTCATAAAACTGATAAAAGAAATAGGCTCTTTCTAGAGCAGACACTCTCAAACTTTAGAATGCCTAGACCCCTCTTTATAAATCATTCAGAGGTTCTGATTGATTTAGAGGTTCCCAGGTCTAGGGAGGTGCTCAGGAATCTGACTTTTAACAAGCACCCCAGGTGCTTGCAGACATTGTCCTAGGTCCACAACGACCCACAAAACATACAGTTTAATATCATAATTCTTCCACCCAGAGGTGACTGTTATTAACATATTGATATATTTCAGTCTAGGTATGTGTCTATGTATGATTTTCTCTTCTAATTATCTATCAAATTATTCAAATTTAAAACTCCATTTTTTCCACTTAACTATACATGTATGTGAACAGTTTCCCATGCCATTAGTCTCTGAAAATACCACTTTAATTATTTCATAATCATCCTTTTTGCAGGCGTGTGGTGATCCATCTAGTCATCCCTTTAATGTTGGACATTTGGGATGTTTCCTGCCTTTTGCTTTTAACGTGTTTCAAATAGAAATCTGGGTCTGGTTTGTCAGCTACTTCCTCAAGACAGATTTGTAGAAAGAAAACTACTTTTTTCAACAGAGTCCTAGGAAAGAATGAATCCCTACTGTCCTGAGGCGTCCACCGTATGTAATGAGTTGTCATTTGTCTGCATCTAGAGTGGGACTACTCAAGTGCCATCCTTGGGAGAGCTGAGAAAACAGCCACTCGAATCATTTTCTGTGTTCTGGGGTTTAGAGGAGGAACACTGGTTGAGAAAGGGAATATTTTTAAGGCTCTTGACACATATTGCAAGTGGCTTTTTAAAATAATTCCTTGAGTAAGTACTTTAGTACGAAGCATTTGATTCTTTGTAATTCTTGGTAGTATGGCTATTATTGTTAAAAATATAGATTATTTCTATCATCTGAATTGTTTCTTCTTGGAAGAGAGGATGTGGATAGAACATAATATGATTGTGAAATAATAAGACTAGTTTTGACATGTGGATTTTGGAACTGGTTTCATTACTTGCACTTATGACTTACACTCATAGTATCTAGTACACTGCCTTGAATGTAGTTCAATGCATGTTCTCTGAAAGAATTTGTAAATGCAACCTGTAGGGTAAAAAGGAATAAGAGAACACTTCATAGGACCCTAAAATGAATTCTTATGTTCAATTTTTACAGAAGAATGGTGAAGGAATGGAGAAAAAATGAAACTGAGAGAAGCTAACTATCCTATTTCCATCTCTCACACTTTTAATGAAGTTCTTCTTTGAGTCAATTCAGTCTGTTTTTGTTATATATGACTTCATTCTTCATGAATCTAATATTTGACTCTTGAGTATCATAAACATACACAAAATACGGCATACACAGAGTAATATGTGAGTCAATGACCTGCTGGGATAAACTTGAGCATATACAAGCCCAGGATATACCAAAAAGGGCATCATTATTGAGGGTTCAGGTGAAGCAAAGGCACTTGACAGAAGTCATATCAAGTTGTGTCTAATGGGCTTGAGCTGGCTCTCAGGAGCCACGATAGAGCTCACAGGAAGGTGGGGTAAGAGAAGCAGTGTGAACTAAAAAGGAGAGGGAGTGAAACGCTGGTGGCCTCCAGCATAGCAGCAGCAAAAATCCAGGATACAAGAGGGGAGAAAGAAAATGCTCTTCCTCAAGAAGATCACGACTTGAGTAGATACTCCATGTGACTTGGATTCAAAAAGAAAAAAAAAAAAAAAACTAAAAACTAAACTAGATCTTAAATATTTTTAAAGCTGAAGTTGAAAGATGCCTTTTGAAATGTACATGAATGCATACCTTGTTACCATCAGGAAGAGTGTAACAAAAGAAGATAATTTCCACGATGCTTCAGTTTAAACACTGGGAATGCTAAGAAGGGGGAGTGATGGTTGGAGGAGAAAGGTGTAGAAGGATCTTAACAGGAGGATAGGAAACTGAGATGCAGGAGAGGCCTAGAAGAGCTTCTAATAATGAAGATAATCATAGCCTTCTCTAACATATGTTGAAGGAAAGCTAGTTATCAGCTATACCAGGTAGAACCCATTTATCTCCCATTGCTGTGATGTAGGTAGAAGGGTGAGGAGGATGGAGATACTGAGATAAAATATTTTTCTCATAGCCCTTGAAGGGTGGGTACGTGGAAGATGGAGTGGAAGCAGAAATGTCTCTCTTATCTCCTAACAGTGCAATCAAAGGAAGCTGGCCTCGGTGGAAAGACCAGGGCTTCATCAGGAAGTGATGAGGTGAGGTGAGGCAACATCAGAGCTCAGGCTGCAGAGCCAGATTTCAAATGAATAAAGTTAGAATTTAAATCCCTGACCTTTTCTCATCAGCTTCATCTAAAACCTATCCAGCATAAGCAAGGAGAGTGCCAGGAGCTTACGTTCAAGTGTAAATTAAGAAATTTTGTCTCATTTCTTCCTCTCTTTGACCCAAGTTTTCATCTCTCCTTTAATTTCCCCTTCTCTAATTCTGCATCTATTCTACTCTGAGTGGTTGAGCTGCAAGAGATGTCAATGCAGCCCTTCGGTTTCCGCTTGCCATATAGCCTTTGCTCTCCCAGGTTTCAACGGGGCAGGAGCATAGTGCAGAGGTCCAGGCTAAATCTTGAAACCATCTCAGGCTCTTTATGTTTCCAGCCTCAATTGTAAAGGCAGGATGAAATGAGTACCTTCCTCATAATGTCATAATGAATACAAAACAGAAGCACACAAATGCACTTAGCACAGCCTAAGAGAGGAGCAGTGAGCACCAAGCACTTACTCCATGCTGGGCACTAGATCATGGCTTTCTCCAATCATACCTGCTTTAAAGATTTTGTTTTGAGATGGAATCTTGCTCTGTTGCCCAGGCTGGAGTGTAGTGGTGTGATCTCAGCTCAGTGCAAACTCTGCCTCTGGGTTCAAGCGATTCTCCTGCCTTAGCTTCCTGAGTAGCTGGGATTAAAGGGGTGAGCCACCATGCCCAGCTAATTTTTGTGTTTTTAGTTGAGACAGGGTTTTGCTGGGTTGATCAGGCTGGTCTCGAACTCCTGACCTCATGATCTGCCTGCCTCGGCCTCCCAAAGTTTTGGGATCACAGGTGTGAGCCACTGCGCCTGGCCTAAACTTTTTTTTTAAACTTAAAACAGGTGGGGAAAAAGAAAACCAAAATATTCATGTTCTTACTTTCCAGAATTGATAATTATTTAATTTGGTCATATTTATGTTGAGCCCAGGGGTGTATTGCTTCACCAGGGGCCATGCATAAGTTGCGTGGCTGTTTCCGGCAATTCTGTTGTATTCCCACCGTGGGCTCCATTTCTGCCTTTGAGCACAGGGCCAGTCTATATGTATAAGTTTACAAACACACACATAAACTCAGTATAGTTTGTGCATGAGTTTAAAAGAATTTTAATTTACAGAGATTGTATAAGTGGTATATTTCTTTTCTTCAACATCATGTTTTTTAAGGTTAATTCATGTTCAAATACAATTTTAATTAACTTTTCACTGCTGGATATTAGTTTACTTTCCAAATTAAACATTATTTGAAGAGGAATTCTTCTGTTGATGGGTGTGAAGATTGCATACAGTTTTTACTCACATGCAATTATAAACAATTCTGCAATAAACGTTCTTGTGCATCACTCTTGGAGTACAAGTGCACATTTTTCTGTAGGGTGTATGCCTAAAAGGAGAACTGCTATGTGGTGAGTACATGCTTATTTTAGTTTCACTAGATACCATTATTTTTATTCCCACTACAGAGATACAATAATTCTAGTTTCCTAACATCCTTACCAACACTTAATATTGTCAAGTTCTAATTTTTGCCAAATGATCTAGCATTGTTTCATAGGTTTATTGATGATTTTGATTTCTCTTTCTGTAATGTGCTTGCTGACATCTTTTGCCTATTTTTGATCAGATAATTTGCCACAATTCCTTCTTTACATGTCTGCTTTTCCCACTGAGAGGTACACATCTCAAGTGTTGCAATGTTACTTTATTCAATGCTCTGTATCTCCAGTGCCTAACAGAATGCCTGACCTCCTTAAGCAATCACTGTATGAGTCATTGCTTATGCCTAAAACTAATTTCCAAGGACCTAACACTTAAGCCTTCATTTACACTTTACTTTGACAGCACGTTTTGAAGTTAGCTGAGTGCTATCCTGTCCACTAAGAATTAGGAGCGGAAACTCTGGCCAATGAAATTTAATAAATTGTCACTGGTGATTGACATGGAGAAATTGAAACAATGAGAGGAAATGTGGTTTGTCTAGAGTCACAATATGTGTGTCATAGCTAAGACAGAGGACAGGTCTTGTCATTGTAGATCTGACCTCCATCTTCAAGGTCACGCAAAGCTCCACAGAAGAAGAAAAAAAAGTGAATATATAACTTACCTGGTAGCAGTTTTCTAGAGTGTTTTCCCATTTCAGTCTGGTAGAATAACCCATCATATTTTTTTGGTAGTAAATTTCATCTTCCTTTTCCAACTTCTCAGTTGATTTTGTCAGTTTATTGAGGAGCTAATGTAAAAACATCAATGTCACACATTTACTAACACATTTTTGAAAGCCCTTTGTAATTCCATAGAAATAATTGTATGTGGCTCAATGATATGTTTCTTACTTCTCATGTGGAGTCACAAACAGTGACTATAGTTGACAAAACCAAAGGCATGGCCAAACCAGAAGGAAACCTAAGGGTCTTACAGTATGATCCCCTCAACTGTACACATGAGGAGACTGAGACCCTTAAATAGGAAG